GTAGGTTAGAAGTAAGATTTTGAATTATATTCTGGATTTGACAGGGAGTCAATGGAGAGAAGCTAAAACTGGAGAGATATGATCTCTCCTACTAACTCCAGTTAAGACTCTGGCAGCAGCATTTTGGATCAACTGAAGACGTTTTTAAAAAAGTATTTGGACACCCATGTAATAAACCATCGCAATAGTCCAGACTAGATGTGACAAATGCATGAACCAGTTTTTCTGCATCATTTTTAGATAAGATGTTTCTAATTTTAGTGATATTACGCAGATGGAAGAAGGCAGTTCTAGTAACGTTTTTAATGTGGGGGATAAAAGACATGTCCTGATCAAAAATAACACCAAGATTTTTAACATTAGAGCTGGAGGACAGATTAATGACATACAAGGAGGGAGAAAGACTGAAAAAAATATATATACCTAAGATGCTCGGGTCCAAAAAACAAAACCTCAGTCTTGTCTTGCCTTTATTCGAAAGCAGAAAATTTAGGCTCATCCAGGTTTTTATGTCTTTGAGACATGTTTGTAGTCTAAATAACCAATTGGATTCATTGGATTTCATGGATAAATATAACTGTATTATCAGCATAACAATGAAAATTCATCCCGTGCTGTTTAATAACATTACTTAATGTAAGCATATATACGGTAAAGAGCACTGGTCCAAGCACTGAACCCTGAGGAACTCCATGACTAACTTTTGTGTATGATGAAGATTCATTATTTACATTTACAAATTCAAACTATGAATGATGACATGTGCAGTCTTGTACAAGATCCTGTGAGATGTGTGTTATGAATGCGCCTCAGCTACAACCACAATATTTTATTTACAAATCTGTAAAACTGACTGAATTATAGTCAATTTTTATTTTTTTATTTTTGTAAGTGTGTTGGATGGTTGGATGTGGCGGACATATTTAATTGGGTTGACATCAAAACAGAACCACCCGTAGCTCATATTCAATAATTGCTTTCTACTAGGTTAAATAAAATTCATCCAGTGGTTCATGAAAAGTTTTGCTAACAAACAGATAGAATTGATTCCAATTGGTAATGCTCAGCTTTTAAGCATACAGTAGATGTTATACAATCAGCCAGTACTCGGAAAACAAGTTGGCAATCAGTCTCAACTACTACTACTATACATTTTAGTTCTTTAACTTGTATGCTAAGTATAGTGACATTTTTGGGGCTCATAATAGACTTTGGCAGCCATCTTGAATTTTGTTCACACCAAAAGTGAATCAGTCATAGATGTCATCATACTGACTCATTGAAAATTTAATTAATACCCAATCTGTGATTCATGGGATATTTTGCTAAATGTACAGACCAGCAAACATACACACAGGAAAAATCATTCACGCAAAAGAATAAATGGATTCAACGGTAGATAACAAATTATGAGCTTTTTCCTTAAGGGGGGAGAGTTTCAGTAACTGAAAAGACTTCAGCCGGGGATGATGTGTGGTTTTATTCTTCTCTGCTTGTCAGAGTTCTGGCAGTGATACGTACACTTGTGTGTTTCTAGTCAATTTGTGATTTCTGTGGTCGCAGCAGAAGCTTGACAGCCAGGAATAGTCTGTGACGGATGGTTGTGACCGTCCATGAGGATGGTGGGGTCACCAGGGTTCTCGGCAGTGGTGTAGGCACTTCCCCACTCAGATCCCCCCCCCCCCCGACGTTTTTAATTAACCTCTAAGGGAGGATCAGTCCTGGTAATCACAGGCTTGGAAGTCCCAGTATTAGGACTTCTCTAACCTTTGAGTTCAGCTCAGGCACTGCAACACACAGAAGACAACAAAAAGTCAGTGAAATACCAACATAGCCCTTTGAACTTTAATTTCCTTTGACACCGTTTATTTTTATATTTTTTGCTCATCTCATTGAAGGTTTTGGTTTCTCCTCTCCGTTTATCGCTGTATTTCTCCCATTGCTATAGACTTTGTTTCATTTCACAGCAAAGGAACTTTATTGATCCCACAACAAGGCGGGTGCAGTTTAATGGCATTTAGTCAAGGTAGGACTTGCGAGATTCCTTTCTACCCTTTCTCATTTTTGTCCTCTGGCTCCCATAGACCTCGTGGCCTCATTATATACAAACAGCGAAGAAGCCCAGGCATAAATAAAAATAATCTAATTTTTCACATTAGGCTTCTAAAAGAGGAGGAGGCCTCAGTGCTCCTTGGGGGAAGCGCACTCCTCTGAGTGATGTCCCAGAACAAGCAGATCAAACGCCTCTCCTCTCGGCTTTCTTCCTATCACTCTATTTTGGTTGCCTTCTTTCATGTCGGGGAGCAGTGGCTTAAGTGGCTCTACTGGAGCTCACTGAGCGGCTCTCAAATGAAGTCAGCAAGAGCTGTGGAAACAAATTGGATCTTCTCAGGCTGGGATTTCTGTGGCGCCCCCTGTTGTTCGGTTTACAGAGTGTGCCGGGGCAGTTATAATCATGTCAGTGGACTGGTACTTCTGTCCATGGTAAAAGAACTCTCATTGGAAGTCTGGGCTGGAAGTACAACTGATGGATGAAGCCAGAGCTCCCTCATGTGGGCGTCTTGAGGAATAAATTCATGATCATGAACAGTGATTTTTTTTTAAAACAAGAATTGGGTGCATACAAATTGTTGTGGCTTTTCTACAATCCACACAGGGTGGATCCTCAAATATACATACACTCAGCAAAATCTTCCATCATGTGGTGCTTGAGGTGTAAAATGTCCAGACAATGCAAAGATCTATTAACTTCTTGTTTGTGATCATTTTTGAGGAAAGATCCACTGTAAGAAGGAGATAAAATTGGTTAGAATGTTCAAGCACAACCCAGGAGTCCACAAGGTTGCCTCTGAAGTCCATCACGAACTGGAAAATGATGGAACACCAGAGTCACCATCCACAGCATAGCAAATTTTCCTTAGCCATGGACCGAGGGGTAAAGAAGCCTCAATGTGCAGCTGCCCACATGGACTAACCAAATGATCATCAGACAAGACAAAAATTGAGTTATTGGACCAAAATGATTCCCATTACAATCTTAACGAAGGCTCTTAGTGTGCTGTTGATTTTGTGCAGTTTGTTGTAAGTACTCCAGGACCCATGTGTGGCATTGAGTCATAGGATTTCTTGCAGTCCATTCAGGTAGTATACGGGTTTGCACGTCGGGTCTTACTGTCTTAAATGACTGCTTGGTTGACCAGTAGCTGATGTTTGTCTTTAATGTCTTACTGGTTATTAGATTAGATTAGATTGAACTTTATTGATCCCTTGGGAAGATTCTTTCAGGGAAATTAAAAGTGCTCATATGTGTAGTGTCTTATTATAGCTACCGCTACTATGATGCACCACAGGAGCTTTCATGCTGCACAGAGGCAGGTGATCAACTGGTAGTTGGATGAGCTTTCCTGTAGTCCTTGATGATCAGGCCTGTCCGGCATTGGATCAACCAAACTGGGTGAATGTTTTTCATAAGCAATTACTTTGTTGGTGCTGCTTGGCATTTGAGGACAGCAGCCAGTTTCTTTAGTCGGTGTAGCTCAAGTCAGGACCTGTTGCGGTCCAGCTCTTCATACGGTCTCATATGTCCACCACATGTTCTGCTTTTTGCTTGAACCTCTTCATTTGGCAGTCTCTAAAGCTCATGTGCAGGATTTGAGACGTAGGATGTTTCTTCCTCAATGCACCTTTAAATTGCTCCAACAGCTGGCTGATATATCTCTGTGCTGCCTTGGTTTACTACTAATGTACTGTGAATTATTCCAGCAGAATCATGGGCATGCATTATTGAAGATAGTACTACAGTTTGAATAATAGTACTGTACCATTGTTGTTTGATTAATGTTTTTGTATGATTTTATATACTAGTTGTGTGTGTATTGTGTACTAACTAACTACTGACTAACTACTAACCATAGTTTATATAATATTTTATTTTGCAGTTTACTGTATTAATGAATCATATTTTCCTGGTTTATTACAATATACATTGTTTATGAAATATATGTACTGAGAAAAGACTGGTACTGGATCAAAACAAATTGAAATTGAAGTTTTAAAAAAATCCTCAGAGGTTTAAACATGCCCAAAGTAAAATAAAATAATCAATAATTACATAGTAATTATTTGTATAATGTTTTTCTGACCTCCTTTCTGAATAAAATTGACAGTAAAATTTAGCTTGATATCTGTAAAACTGACTGAGTTACAACTATTTTCCTGTTGATTGTGGTGGCTTTCTTGAATTGGACTAACTCCAAAACTTAATCGATCGTAGATGTACATCCAGTGATTATTTCCTGAAATATGTTTTAAAGTATGTTCAGTGGTTTATGGGATATTTTGCTAACAGACAGACATGGTTAAATAAACAGTTAATAACAAAATTATAAATCTTGCACAACTTGTTAGCGCTCAAAATACGTATTGTGGCTCTGTCTCAGCTACCTCACCAAAATACAATTATTACCTGAATAACAAACTAATTCACAGCAATTCTATGTGTTTTAAGTCTAGTTGACTGGGGTGGCCATCTTGAACTGGTTTGAACTCAAAATGTAATCAGTTGTTGAGGTATAGCCAGTGATTAACTTATGCAAGTTTGATTAAAATTGCTACAATGGTTCATGAGATATTTTGATAACAGACAGACAGAGACATATGCAAAAACATTATCATCTGCCTTGCATGTCAGTGACAGGCAATAAACACTAACAAACATGACTATTATTGCATCACTTTCCCCACATTAAATGAAACGCATCCTTGCAAGACCAATTACATTTACACAGATCTTCTTATTGCCATCATACACACACACACACACACACACACACACTGCACGTGATGAAGTTGTGTATTTACACTAAAGCTGATTATGACCCACGTGGCCTCACGGGCAGGACAGCAGGGAGCTGCAATCCTATTGGTCATCGGCCCTCTTGCAAATGTTCACCAACCAATCAGACGGGTTATTGATTTATCTCTGTCTTTGATCTGTGTCTAACTGTCAGCCCAGTTCTTCTGTCAAAAAAGGAAGTTTGCTGCGTCTCGTCGTGCATAAACAGGACTCATTTAAGAACGAAGAGCAGCTTGTTTTGGTGTCCTGAAGAGCCGGACCTGAATGAAGTTAATTGCACCTAAAAGGATGGAGTTGTTTCTCCAGAGATGCCACAGAGAGGGAATTTTAAACTCCGCCTTCCGGTCGGTGCTGCTCATTACAAGTTTGGTAAGAGCCTTTTATTCTCTGAGTGGACCTTCAGAAACTGTTTCTCTAAAAGAACAGTCCAAATCAAGGCAGGACTTTTCTGTAAATTCTTTCCTCTCTACAGTATGCTTCTGTCGGCCTGCCCCGCTGCCCTGCACTGTACCGAGAAGTAGGACAGATTATAATTTGATCTCTGCCAAGCCAATACTCATTTATCTGTGACAGACTGGGGCTAGGATGGAGAGGATGGACAGTGAATCCAGTCCAAACATGGCAGTCCTTTTAGAGGTCACCAGATAATTAAATTGAGCCTCAACTTTCTTTATTCAGATATAAACTATCTCATCAAATGTCCTAATGTAACCATCTGCAGCCGTCTGTCAGATCTTTTATCCAAGCTGACACAGAATACGTGTGCTGGCTGGACGGACGGGATGGGGCAGACAGACAGAAAGACATGGAATTGAAGTGATTCGCCAGCCGGGCGGGTGTGAGTACACAGGAAATTACTGCTCTACTGGGACTTTCATACACAACCATCACTGGGGTTTACAGTAGTCCAAGAAAAACAAAAAGAAAATATCTAGTGAGGGGCAGTTGTGTGGATGACAATACCTTGTTGATGTCAAAGGTCAGAGGACCTCATCACCTTGTTGATGAAGTCAGAGATGAATGTGCAGACTGACTGGAGATGATAAAAAGGCAACAGTAGCTCTAATAAGCACTTGTGTTGTAAGGAATCCTGATCACTCAATATACATTACGTCCAACACTAAAGCAGATGGACTACATCAGAAGAAAACCTTACCAGGTGCCACTCTGTCAGCTCAAAACAGAAACTGACAATTCACACAGGCTCAAACATTACCTGGTCTGATGAGTTTCTAAACTTTAGAGATGGTTGTGTGTGAAAGTCTCACATCAGCAGTTTCTGAAATACTCAGACCAGCCCGTCCGGCATCAACAAGCATGTCATGTTCAAAGTCAATTAAATCTCCTTCTCCTGTTCTTTGTCATTCTGATGTCCAATATCTTTTTGATGCACTGATTTGCTGCCATATGTTGGTCCGATATTTTGTTTAACAACCAATTAAACAAGTTTACTTAATAAAGTCTGTGGAGAACTTGCCCAGACAATTTGGTCCATTGAGTAAATTTTCTCGATGCCCCCTAAATTCCAGCATTCGGTCTTCTAAGGAGCCTGTCAGCAGCCTACACTTTGACTTTGCCATATGAGCCCATTTTATTATTTATTATGTATTAAACTTTATTTAACCAGGCAAATCCCATTGAGATCTGAGATCTCTTTTGCAAGGGAGGCCTGGGCCTGAAGGCAGTCTAACATGTATGTTTTTGGTCTGTGGGAAGAAACCGGAGTACCCAGAGAAAACCCACGCAAGCACAAGAAGAACATGCAAACTCCACACAAAGACCCCAGGTCCAACTGGGGATTAAACCCAGGACCTTCTTGCTGTGAGGCAACAGTGCTAACCACTGAGCCATTGTGCTTCCTTAAGAGCTCTAAATTTGGCAGAATTCTGGGTGTTGCTTGTGCACAGCCCTCTTCAGACCTAATCAGCTTTAAATCTGGAGCCATGCCATTCCAAAGAAGGTTGTTAAGCCTAAATTGACAGGTGTTAGCACCTTTTTTTTAAATTCTCCCAACTTTGACAAAAACCCAAGTTCTGTCTGAAGAATAGCAGTCCCGCAGCATGTTGCTACCACCACCATGTCTTAAGCCTCCAGTATACTCGGGCGGACATTTTTCCACGCGGACTCGACGTGCACTGTCCACAGAGGGTTGAGACTTCATACTCGAGTGTCCACCCTGAATGGCTGCAATCCAGCTCCGCAGGCAAAGGGGCGTTAACCTTGGGGACAAATGCAGGTCGCCGATTGGTCGTTTGCTGACACGCCTACTGGATTGATTGACAGGCCGCAAAAAAAAATAAAAAAACAAGAACTGACAGCCCCAACCACAGTGATGTTCTGTGTTTACTTGTTGTTAATAAAAAAGTTCTAAAAAAAAAAAAAAACAGGGAGCGCTGACCCTGCAGCCCACACATCAGACCAGCCCACCAGGAAATCTCCAGACCCTCACACAACCACGCTGGACCTGATTTTAATTCGCTTGTGATAAATTCCTTCATTTCTCACCATTTCAGTCATGGCGTCAACAGAGGAGGAGGAAGAGATTGTTTGCCTTTTGTCAAAAAAAAAAAAAAAGGCCATTAAACCAGACCAGGAATGAAGAAGGGGAATTAAATACATTCGTGTTGCATACAAAACAGTCCATCACCGGGAAGTTTATTGTGCGACACCGAGTACACGTACGTGGTCGTAAAAATTGAGCTTTGCACAGACATGCCCTGTGGGCGTCCGCTTCGACTTATCCGGTACGTGCGGACTGATGTATGCCTGCGTATACTGGGGGCCAGTGGATATGGTGTTCATTTGGTGAAGTAGAATGTTATTTTTTAACTTAACAGACACATTAGAATTGGGACCAAAAGTCCAACTTCAGATTCATCAGACCATAATATATTTCCCATACAAAGTTGGAAAATGATAAATGGACTGTACTTATATAGCACTTTTAATCAAGATACTCAAATCACTTTACAACACAAGATGTGCCCTCATTTCCCTCCACACACACATTCATACAGCTCTCTACTAGAACTATACAAAGCTAATCTGAATCTGTAGAGACTCATCAGTGCTTTTTAGATCACATTCATGCACCATTGGGAAATAAATTTTCTCTGAGTCTACTTCATCTTTGTTCAGAGAAGACTTATATCTTGCAGCACTAAACCATTATTCAGATACATGAAGACTATTGAAGGTCATTATCACATGTAGAACATAACCAGTACCTGCCAGAAATTCCAGCAGCTCCTTCAGTTTTGCTGCCTGCCTCTTGGTTGCCACCCTCATCGGTTTACATCTTGTCTTTTTTGTCATTTTTGGAGGAACATCCTGTTTTCGATAACGTTATTGTTGTCCCTCGTTATCGTCACTTCTTTATTACTATGTTTCATGGGCTATATAGTGCTGATATAAAAAAAAAATGTAACCTTCGTCTGACTGGTACCTTTCAATAATAAGATTTTTGATGGTGAATTTTCTGAAATGTGGCTTTTTCTGTAGGATGAAATGTGAGGAACATTGCACTAGGTTATCCAAATTTTATTTTGGGCATACCAAAGTAATTTAAATTAATTACAGGGGTGTACTCAAGATCTGTGATTAATTAGCTAAATATTAACCTAAGGGGTGTGCACATTTAACCAGATTATTGCACCTTTTTACAGTTTTATAATTTTGCTCCATATGACTGTTGTTTCTATATACGCTGGCTCTAAGGATGATAAAATGTAGAAAATATAAATGCTTTCTAATTGTATCTGTCATTTTCTCAACTAATGACTTCGATCAAACACACGTGGATCAAAAAATACCAAATTCAGATTTCTGATTGAGCATTAGAAATTACGGGATGAGTTAGTCACACGTGGACAGCTTAAAGTAGATCATGTCTTGCATTTAAATTGTCTGAGGAGAACAGATCTCAGGTACGGGTTCTCTATAACCAAAATAGCAGAGTGGGCTGTCAGCTGATCAACAAACAGGAAATCAGCAGGTTTGTCACAAACACATTCAGTCACATGTTTATATTGTTAAGCTATTTACACAACTCTTGATAAGGATAATTATTTAACCTATCTGATGCAATATGAAAGAAATACAAGCTACATGTAACAATGCGGGATCATGAAATCAGCTGTGACGTCACAGAGTTTTGGACTTTAATGATCAACACTGAAGTTTTTGATCCTTCCACGGCAGTAAAAGTACCTGACAGGGAGCCGTCTGCCTTTAGCTCTTGTCTTCACAGCTTTACTGTGAATGTACAGTAAGTGAACATGCAACAGAGGAAAGCCCAGGTTGTTGTTTGTGATTGACCATCAACCATTTATTAAGAATAGTGAACATCTCACACCTGCATTTTCTTACTGATGGGAACTGAAGGCAGCAGGACCCAAGTCATGGCAGGAGCAGAGCCAGAGGGGCACCACCCCCTGGAACCTGATTGGCCACCCCAGGTGCCACCTGATTGATAAGCTACTGCATGTAGCATTGGAAGGTGTTTGATTAGTTTGATTAAACATAGACACATCTACATCTGTATCAAAATTTGCCAAATGATTTTTGGTTTGCATATCCTTTATGTAAAGACACTAAATTTTAACATGTAAAATATTTGTTGTTTAAAATCTTCAGCATACTGAAAGTATTTTCTGATTTTTCCTGTTAATGTTAAGGGGATCCATCATTTGATATTAACGAGAGAGAGAGTTTGCAACTGGTGTCTCAGGCTTTTAATCCTGCTAACTGCACAATGAAAGTGTCACATGACCTTTCTCTAAGCACAAAACACAAATTACAGTTTAACGTATCGTATTTTTCAGACTACAAGGTGCAACATCAATGGACGAGTCTGTTTTCATACATAAGGCGCATTAAGCGAAATAAAACAGTCACATAAGTCAAACTTTATTCAACTCATTCACAATAACCATGTAAAATCAGTACGAGGTCAGTAAGCGCAACAAGAATTAATACATAAAGTGCACCTGATTATAAGGCTCACTGTGGATTTTTGAGAAAATTAAAGGATTTAAGTGTGCGTTATAGTCCGAAAAATATGGTATTAGAAAACTACATATCTGAACATAAGGAAAAGTTAGAACTACAAAAATCCACAAGAATCAGTACCTGAAAGAAACATTTTAGATGTGTGCTGACGTTGATGAACTAACATAAAACTTGTACTGGAACCAGCATATGGGAACGTTGGTTTCATACTAACTTTAGCTTCCAAATTGTCAAATGTCTATTTTTTATTAGCCCTGTTTGACACAATCTCTTCTGATGATAACCTTAGTGGGTACTAACTCGCACGAAGACTTGGCAATTGTTTTTACGCTGGATGTCCTTCCTGATGCAACCACAGACCACTGAGCTACCACAGCCCTCTGTGTGGAGCAGAGAGCTGCCATCCAAGGTGACCAGAGGAGCAGATGGTGGAGGTTAAGGCCTTGCTCAAGGGCCCAGATTGGAGTAAATGAGGGTGGAGGCACGTGTGGGTGTTTCACCTTTCCCATCCATATTTTTATGTTGTCGGTCCGGGGAGTTGAACCAATAACCTTCCGATCACCAACTCACCTTCACTAACCTCTGCGCCACCACTCGCAGTTCTGTTTTTATAGATTTTATTTTTATTTTTTTTTAACCAGGAGGCATCTGTGGTCCTTTAGTGTTGGTCAAGATGGTTTGCTTTTAGACTACTAAAATAATCCTGTACCAACTTATCTCTGAATGAGATCTGTACAATATTATTGATGCATTTTGAGTGTTCACACTCGTATTCAGCTTGTTCCATGTGAGATAAAATCACAGATGGATGTTAGAGCCAGATGTGAAAGGTCTGTAACAGTTATGGTTCAGAAATATTCCCTAAGTCCTTACCTTGACCACAGTTTTTTTTATTGTATCCTCTCAACACTAGTTCTTGGTCCTGGCAGTATCCATGTATCCTGGGTTGAAATCCTTGGCGGTTCATCTTCATGCAGTCTTAACAGGGAGCTACACACCGGGCCATCACTCCGTCCTCCTCGTCAACAGTCCCAACGAACAGGCAGCAAAGGACATTAGCAGGTATGAAATGGAATAGTTGCATAACTTGACATTTCTTTAAATTGTATTAACTGTCTTTTAGTTCTTGACAAGAAATATAAAGATTCAGTTTTTTGTACTATATATATAAAAAAGAAATGTTTAATTTTTCTTTCCTCCTTTCATATCTGACCAACTCTCTTCTCTCTACAATGTCCCTTCAGAGCTGTCATGGAAAGACATCTGGCAGCTAGTGTTAACATCTTCTCCAAGACATCCACACTGTATGTGAATCTGACACTTACAGACATTCTGTCTTACTCTCAGTCACAAAGACCAGTTTGATGACCACGTCCATCATATTGAATTTACGTAACAGCATGATCACAAAAGGCACATACACGTTTATTGTCCATTATTGTTGTTAGCCATCAAAGCACCTACTTTTTCTTTTCATGGATAAGCACAACAAAGAATGAATATTAAACCTAACAATTAGTGGTTTACTTATTGATTAAATAGGTTTACCCTAAAAATCAAGGACACTCATGGAGTCGTTCAAAGACAGGCACAATTCATTACTTCTCACATGTACATATAGCATCCTATCTGTCATGCTTTGTGTTTCTTTAGGTACTACTGGAAAGGTGAAATCCAGGATGCTACGGAAACCCTGATAGTAAGCTTTACTATGATCATGTATTCTGGTTTGATGATACAGAATACTTAATTCTTACTGTCATTACAGCTGGTGAGAACTAAAACCTCTAGGATTCAACATGTTATTGACTTTGTGAGGTAAGAAGTTGCTTATTATGCTGTTTGTTGTATTTACAAGTTCTCTCACAAGGTTGTGTAGACCTGTGAAATTTATAGTTTGTACTTTATGACCGAAACGATGCATTTAAGAATTTGGAAATAATTTATACTTCAACAAATACACTAAAAACTAACTAAATCAAATGACAGCAACTGGTGCACCAACAAAAGAAATAAAGAAGGTTCAGTTAATGAAATATACCAATGTCAAAAAAATACAAGTTTCTGTTTGTTTTTTTTATTTGAAAGTTTCAAAGAAAAATACCAACACCGTATTACTGTTCTGATCAAATGGGTTTCCAGACTCATCTGAGTTTCTTTCGAACAATCAGACTAATGGAAAAATAAAACAATGACCCACCCACAGCCCTAATTAAAGGATCGACGCTGCTGATTGAAAGTGTTTTGCTGAAGTGTTCTGTGTCTCCTTTCAAGGTCCATCCATCCCTATTCGAACCCAGAAATCCTCAGTTTTTCAGTGGAAGGCGGCAGTCTGGCCTACATGAAGTGGATGGATGAAGCCGTTCCAAACGACTGATCAATGGACTGAAATCTGTGTTAACATGAACAGACGCTAAACAAGGACACAGACATTTGTGTGCAGTATTAAGCTTCAGAAATTAGTCACAAGACTTCTACATTTTATTGCTCTCGTCCCGCCACAGTTAACATTTAATGTTAAGTCATTAATTACAAAAAGCGTTGCCAGTTAAACTGGAGATAAACAGCAGTCACTGTGTGGCGCGAGGTCCATGGAAAAGGGTCTGCGAAGTCCCACTTTTGTTTTCTATCAGGAAGAACACAAGAAGGAACCTACGTTTTATTGTTCCAAATCACTGTTTGGTTGACAAAACTCTTTTCTTTGAGGACACAGAAAGAGATGGTTCAGAGAAGGTGAAAGAGAACGAGATATGGAGCCACATATTAAGAAAATGCATTACTGGAATTAAAAGAAAAGTGTATTATGCTCCGCAGGTGCAGAACAGCCAGAGACGTAAGAACTGAACTCCAAAATCCAAGACAAGACGATGACGAGACATTGTTGCCGTCAGACTGCTGTAGAAGAAGACAGATGTGCTTAAAAATGTTGCATCAGTGAACAGCAAAGCACATCTGGTTTTATAGGTTTCATACATAATTGCTCAGGCCAAGAAAATGCACAAGCACATTGTCCATACGGTGTCAAACATGACAAATGAATGGATGAACACTGGTATAGTTGGTCAACAATGATGTCTTGAAGTAGGGGCTTTATTTAAGTGTAAAAATAGTTTGTTCTCCAGATTCTCTACAGTCCAAACCATGCACGTTAGACAAACTGGTGATACAAAGCCATTCAATACAAGATACTTTGTTTCAGAGACGTTCTGCTGTTTTTTTTTCTTTTCTTTCGTTTAAAAAATGTTTACTCATTAAGTTTCAAAGAACGCACACTTAATGATTGCTAACCAGTTAATTGCAATGCTTTACGCCGGTGTTTATATTTTTCTTGAAGAAACCAGATCTATCTTGAATTTCACCCACCGAGATGCTCAGCCAGGACTTTGTGAGCAACCTTTCATTAAAGAGACAGACCAAACATACAGTAATTGCATTTACTAGTTTATTATTAGAAAGAATGCAGTATTGAAGTAGATTGCCGAAGGTGACTCAATTGTGAAAGTTTGGTGAAAATCAACACAATGTATATAAACACAACTGAATCAAACTATAACAGTTTTGTGTTCCATTACATATTTCTTTTAGCCATTTTAAATGTTTTACTGTAATGTAAACAAGCAATAAGATTGTGTTTGAATTAAGTGCTGCAGGAAGGATAGAATGTGGGACAATGGTGAGTTTACATTCAGATTACTGGAGAATATATTAGGGATTTGGAGAAGCATCAATTATGTTTTAAACAGTCATATTGGACACAATCAAACTCATTCAAAACTTCCTTAACTCTGTTTTGACTTAAACAAAAATAAACCCGTCGATGATTTCTAAAAGTGGTACACTGAGCAAATGATGAAGCTGCAGGCATCTCAAACTGTTAGTAAATATATAAAAATCAAAGTAAAATTCACAACTGCCTTACTGGAGTCTGGCCAAGCCATTCAAAAAGAACTGAAAAGGCACATCACATGTATCAAGCTATTTAAATCAGACACCCTCAAAAATAATGAAAAAAAAAAAAAAATCCAGTGGATTTACATTAAGCTTACCATTATTTTACATGGTAACCCACTTCTCAGCTGGTAAGGTATACAGATTTGTCCCACGGTAACGGCTTCAAAACCTTTTTCTCGTTAATCCTTCAGCACATCATCCGAACACAAAAAGATCTCATCTTTACAGAAACTCTGTTTAAGGCAACCCTGCTTTTACTCAAATGTTTCCCCCCCCAGGAGTCTGCTCAGTCACTGGCATGGCATAATCCTGTTATTGTAAGAAAATGTTCAACAGAGATGGCACCGAAGTACACTACGAATTAAGTCAGCTACAAAGACTCGTGCTTGTACAGTCCGAAACTGTCAAAGAGCAAAACTGCAGCGAGCGTTTTATTTTTTTATTTTTACACACACGTCCATTACAAAAGATGGCTGTTGTTTTGGTAACTCCCCCCACCATCCTTGATCACTGATCATTTGGCTTCATGGAAGTTTTTCAGGTCAAGCACTTCTCCAGCTTTGAGTTAGCACATCAGTAATCAGTCCATCACAGTTCTTAGTTGGACTTGTTTCCATCTGTTCATGTTTAAGCTCAGAGGATTTGAATGATGAGGGAGAAACAAGGATAAAAAATAAAAAATAAAAAAAAGATGTTGCCTATGTAATATCTTTCTTGGCAATTACATACCCCAGAGAAAATGTCCATATATGCCTGTGCTCCAGGACTTGAACACCTGGTTTTCCACTACCCATTCTCCTTCCACAGAACTAAGTGAATACTATGGTCAGGCATGCTGGTAGCAAACACCAGTCCAGAGTCATTGCACCCATCCAGGCCATTGAGCCAGGAGGTCACGCCTGCCAGGAAGCTGGATCCCCGTTTAGATTTCCTGTAGGCCGGTAGAGGAAAACGGCCTGAAATGACCTCTGTCCTTAGATCCATCACATACAGAAAGTGGTTATCAAAAAGGAGTGCAAACACCTCACCAAAGCTCAGCAGGGACAGGTTGGCAGGGTCCTGCATTTTTATTACTCTGAGAACAGAAAATGAAACGGGGTCTTATTAAAGCATGAATTTATTTCACAAATATCCAAACCTTATTTGGTCAGACTAAAAATGCAACAGACAAGAATTATTTTGTTTACAAGAAGTACACTATACATAACTTTAACATTTTAGCTTATTCTGAAATTTTAGGTCGCATATTCAAAGCAACACCACTATAAGATCACCCTGGTATACTGTAAAACTGTATTACTATACAACCATGGTAGCTTTATGTTTTTATGTAGTTTCAGTCGTAATCAGTGCTACAAACATCCTGACACCTCATCTCTGGACAAAGACCAGATGAAATCAGTTAGTTTTACTAAAAGATTAAGAAAAACATTGTTTGCTGTGTGATCATGTTGAAGGTTGAAGCTTTCATGTATGTGCAAAAAAAAAAAAAAAAGGGGGGGTTGGGGTGGATGTCCTAGAAAAAATAATTATGTTAGCACATTTTAGATTCAATAATCCATCCCACCTCTTTGCTTATGGTGAAGTATTAACAGCATTTATCCATTTCTAACATACTCTTGTATTTTTACTGTGCATAGGCCTGTCGCAATAAACAATAAATCAATTAACTGCATGAAAAATGAAAATTATCAACCTCATTTTCATTTATCGGCTTTATCGTTCTTCGTCTCTCTTTCTACTGAAGACACTGGATGACAAAAGGCTCAACTCCGGTGTTCCTCACTGACCCCTCCCTTTCTCTTTAAAATCCATGTTAACCGTCCAAAATCACGTTTTTAGATCGTTAAAAGCAGCTAAGCTGAAAAGCTGAGCTACGAGCTAAGCTAACAGGCCGACCTCGAGGAAAAAAAACCTCCGTCTTGTCGAGCTCCAAAATTCACGGTTGAAACCTGTGCCTTTGTGTAAAAAGTTGTTTTTCTCTGCAAAAAGAAGCTGAGAACTGGTTTAATTATTTTTTTTATTAAAAGCTTTGTGTGAAAAATGCTATGCTAAAGAGCTCAAACCACATGTGCGTCCGCCATTTTGAGAACCGTAAAAAAAGGAAAGAGAGACAACCCATGTCACGTCAAGGGGCCTCCCTCACATTTTTCTTAGAGACACGCTGCTCGCTCGCTCACTATCCATCATTCGGTTCAAACAGTCTTGTACTGACATCCAGTGATCAAAAACCTACACTACTACACTCAAAACAAATTAACCATTTCTTCTTAAATTTGACAATAATTACTAATTATAGTCAAATTTCAAACAATGTTATCGTTTATTGCAATAATTTCTGAGACAATTAATCGCCCAGCAAAATTTGTTATCGTGACAGCCTAACTGTGCAATTACTGAAGATCAGTTTTGTTTTTTTAAAGATCGTATGGTCTTTATTTGATGAGCCCATGGAGCGTTTCAGATCTGCCCCTTTACTGGTCTCTAAAATTGATTTGGACAAAAATCAGCTGTTCACAATCAGCTCTAATCAATAGAACAGTGATTATGGACAAATAAGAATACGTTCATGGTTGTTTTGTATTCAGAGTGGCACTGTTTGCTCTCCAGTGTATATGTTATCAGTTGAGTTGTTTTAACACCTTTGATATCTTACCTGATAATTTCAAAACTGGCAAAGTCCCACTGATAAACACCGAGGTCTGAACTGCAGACGATGTAGCGTCCATCAAACTGCAGACGAGGTTGAAGGGTGATGCTGCGGTTCTCAGACACCGAGAGCGTTTTCAAACACTTGCAGTTGATTTCTCTGCCTAAAGGCCAAACCTGCAGAAGTGGCACACCATTTATTCCATCCTATTGACAAAATATCACCAATTTCAAAAAGAAATAGCTGGTTTGGCCCTTTTCTTTCCAGCTTACAATAAAATGTAATGTATCAAGAGAACTTTACCTTAATTTCATACTTGTCAGCACTTAGGAGGATATAATCACCAGGACTGTGGACCATAGATTCTACTTCACTCTTCTGTAGTATCACCTGATGACAGGCAACACAGAAAGTAAAACAAAAAACCTAAACGTGGCAAGCAAAAGTCAGAATTCTGTCTATTAGTAAATGAGCTGACCTTGGTAACCCACTCCGTGTGTCCAGTGAAAGTGTTGAGACATGCACCAACGGACAAAGACCAGACCTTTACTGAGAAGTCTGCAGAGCCACTGACCAGAACATCCAGCTCATCGTTGTAGTCCACACTGAAAACTGAACGCACACAAACACACACAACAAACAGATTTGTGCAACTAGCAGCAGGTGAGATGGTTTTTAACTAAAATTATTATTTAAGGGCTTTATTGCAACACACCATTTGGTATTTTAATATCCCTGTAAATAAATATGAAATTAGGAAAATTCAACCCTAAAACGAGTCAAATGCATCAGCGTGAATGTTTGAATGCAACACTTCAGTGATATTTATTTAAAATTTACAAATGAAAAGAAATACTTGCACAAAGTTAAAAATAGCTAACGTTTTACTGTAAGCCCAGTCAGTTTGCAAAAGCAGAAACCATAAATTGTGCATTAGTCTGAACCCATTTTAAGGCATCTTATAAGGTTTTCATTGAGTCAGGTTACGCCATTTTTACTGACCTGCTCCCGTGTGGCCACGGAACTGCTGGATTTTAGCTCCAGTACTCCACTCCCAGCATGCAATAGTGTTGTCAAAGGATCCGGTCAGAAGTTTCTGTTCGTCGAATTTCACTGTGGCACAGGTGTGTGTCTGAATTCCATAAATGCACTGTCCGGTGCGCACATCCCACAATTTGGCAGAAAGGTCATCAGAGCCTGTAAGAAAAAAAAAATGCTATTCAAGTTACTCCTGTGAACGATTCCACACAGATAAACACAGAACCAACCATCTGTGTGTGACTGAACTGTTTCAGGCTAAACATAAATCAAAGGTACGGTGCACCTGTGCAGAGGAGGCCGTCCTTATAATAGAGGGCGTATACTCGAGCGCTGTGGCCGATGAGTGAGGATGTCACAAAGGCCTCCTGATCCTTCAGCTGCATCATGCGCAGTTTAGCCTTTAGATAGACCCTCTTCCAATGTGATGCATCCTGAATGGACTCATCAATCCTCCAGCCCAGTTGTTGACACACACCCTGCCACACCTCTGTACACGAGTTTATTACCTGGAAAGAGACAGTGACTTGCTCAATAGATTTAAGACTTGTTACTGTGAATACATGGGATGCACTGAAATGAGACAGAACAAGAACATGTGAACTAGTGTGATTAATGACAACAGCAGAGAAGTTATGGTGTTGAAAGTTAAGTAAACAGACTAGGTTTTTTTTTTTTGTTTCCATAGAGTTTCAGTTTACATCAAAAGCCCGCCTGTAAATTTCATTTAGATGCTGTTTATTTATTAGTTATGTGCCTCTCCACACGTTCCTGGTTTAGATGGCTGTCCTTCCCGAGTCCAGTTCTGCTGGAGGGAAGTGATGTTTGTCTTTATATGCAAATCCAAGACAAGAAACTGAACTGAAAATTTGCCACAATCTGTCAATTTTTCATAGAACATTATTGGGCTTAAAAAACATTTTAACAGGATCAAAAATGTCTGTAGGCACTGAGGCTAAAATCTGGTCAATTTGGATCTAAAAGAAGACATGCAAGATAACAGGTATTGACAAAGGGGATTAAAAATTGAGATATTAATTACTATACCTTCCCTTATCCTTTTGAGCTAAAGAGTCACACAAACGTCACAACATTTCCACGTCATAAGACCTTTTAGGAGCTATGACTGGACTGAACAAGCTAATCAACCACACCAAACACTTCCACATTATAAGGCTATATAAGACTTACTTAAACTTGAATTAAGATCGGACTGACTTGAACTGGGTTGAAATAAACAGAATTTAAGTGTAATGTAAATATCAGATTTTGAATTTGCTTACTTTCTCTTGTGATTTACCATTATACTTTGTGAACTGGTTTTATTTAAATAAACTGATCTGTTATCCAGAGTCAAAGTAGTAGACAGGGACTCAAACGTTTTAGTCACCTTATTCCACTGTTTGCAGACCAGGCAGCAGGTGAGCAGGGTCTGAGGATCCAGCCACTGCAGCAGGTAGAAGGCCAACTCCAGAGGAAGCAGCCGCAGGAAGTCACGTTTTAGCAGCGTCTCAAGCCCATTGGAGAGGTGACGGAGCTGGGCAGCACCACTTAAAGATATAAGATGGTCCAGGGACACATTGCGCTGCTGGTCATTAAGAGAAAGGAAAGTGGCAGAGACTGACTCCAGCCACCTTTCAAAGGCCCTATTCTCCATGGGCACATGACCTGCAATACCTGTAGCACAAACACAACAACAGTAAAGTTCATATATATATATATAAAAAAAAGGTTTCATTCAACGCAGTAATGTAAGATGGTTTCACTATTCTCAAATTTAAACCTCTGGAGAGAAAACCTCTTGAAACTGGAATGTTTAATATTACAGCATGTACTTGTGCATTGTTGATACAAAACTCCTTAATAAACTAGATCTCACCTAAAAAATGACCAAGCAACACCACTATCTATCATGAACAGGAATAAAGATGTTTTTTTCATGATAGTTACTTTTTTCAGAAATCCACTATACCCCATGTGACTGCAAAGCTAATAAAATATTAAATGATTCATAAAATTCTGTTCATAAACGAACTCTTTAATTTTAGTGTTTATTTTTCAACTGTCCCATGGACGTCAGTGATGTACTTTGAAGAACAGTCCATCTTGAAGGCTGAAGCTCCCTCAGTTTGGTAGAAATGGAATTGGGCAAAGTTTCCCACTATTGTTGCAGACAGAGGTATCTGTGTGTATTCCTTCTGCTTCTACTCCCACCAAGCTTCTTACAGCTGGGGCATCATAAAGAGTGTCACTTGTCCTCCTGGGGGTGCTGCAATGCTGACTTTAAAAAAAACAACGTTCAATACAAACATACTGATGCAATGCTGACATGAATTTATGAGCTAAATTGTAAAATGTTTGTGGTTATTCTAGACTGAAATTAATATTATACTTGAAGCCCTATTTGAAGGTTTGATAATCTAGACAGAGCAGAGACCATGTTATTTGCTTCTGCACGTCAGAGCTTCATAAATTAAAAACTGCTGTACTTGCAATTTAGCTTGTTGAATGATTTCACTTGTTGGTCGCATTTCACGGGGCAAGGTTACAATTTTCAAGCTGACAGGCACATGTGAACAAACATTGACAAAATATAAATTAACAGCTTTTGTTGTTGTGTTTTACTGATTGTATTACTGTATGATTGTTTTATTACATACAAAGTACTTTGGTCCTGTGGGTGTTTTAAGTGCTCTATATATAAAGCTGGTACGGTATAAACCAGCGCCATGGAGAGAGTTGTGACACGTCCATAGACTTCTATAGAGACTGGAATGCAGAAGTCACGTGACGTGGGTCGTGCAGCTGCAAATAGTTCCAAACATCAACAATTCAAGCATTGAACGCAGTTCATTCTCTGTGTTTCGGAAGCGTAAGTTGATGAAAATACAACACTTTTTTTTTTCCATTGCGACGCGTTATCTGACTGTTCTGTACTGCGATTTATCAACATTAATACTTCATGTCGCCAGTTTTAGTTAATGAAACATGTTGTAACTGCAGCTAGCTCTTTGCCAACATGACGGTTTAAACGGGTCTATTTCTGTGTAATTCAGCGTTTTAAAAAATCCATTACACCTTCAATTTTGAAAGTTGATAATTTTCTAATTTTTGTGGTAATTCCAGTTACTGAGCTCTCACCTAGAAAATATTTAGCATTTATTTGGCGAGATTGACGTGGTTAATTTAGTTCAAGTTATAGATCCTTCGTCAAAGACTGCGGCATTAATGGAGAAATTATCATTAAAGAAAAACGTGATTGTGAAGTGTTTTTTTTTTTTATGTTTTCCAGGTAAACCACAGGAGGACTTCAGTGAACTGCTGAATGTTGAGTCCAAAGTATCACAAAGGTACAAGATCTCATTTTCTGTCTTCCCAAAACAAGAACAGCTTAATCAAGATGTTTGAATAAAATTACTTCAACACCATAACCTTCACAAAGTTGGTATTTACTGCAGGACTGTTCATTTACAGTTGTTTCATATTATTAATTTAGCGTATGGTCAATATGGGTCAAGTTGAGATGAGATTCTCTTTCAAGGCAGAACAAGAAATAAGAATTATTACCAAGAATATATCACCATCAATAAGCTGTATAACAGTAACAAAATAAATAAATAAATAAACTATCACAGGTAACACTACATTCATGTCCGTCTTCATGTTTTCAGATTGAGTGGTGAGCTAAGAAATGACCAGGTTGGTGGTCAGTCCTGTCAGTGATGGAGAGATGGAGCTGGTAAGTTATTCTTACTATTCTTATGCCAATTGCCTTAATCTGATCTTTTGTAAAAAATATGGCTTTTTTCCACTATTAACATTTTTTTCCACAGGACTGCATTAATTGTCTTCAGTCTGTGAAGTTCTCCTCCTATTCTGCTTATGTATTTTTTTTTTCTGTTCTAATTCCTCCCTCAGGTTTTTCATCTGTTCCCTGAGTGCATTGCCTGTTGATACATCCTCCTGGCCCTGTTGACCCTGGCTCATCATCAGTTCCTGGCTTGTCCCCAGATTATCATTCATTAAAAAATATGAAATGTATTATTTAACAGTTCGTACCAAAGTTTACTTTAGAATAGTATGTGTGATCACTGGTCAGTGGATCAACATGCAGTGGAAGTTCTGCTGTACTTCTCATTGCAGGATCCTTCCTCCTCCTTGGTTGTGGGCGATGAGCAAAAATGGTTGGAACTGCATCAGCCCTCAGTCTCACACGGCCTGAATGTGTCTTTGTAAACTGCCCTCTCTCAAAATGTGCCTGTAGAGTGATATATTAGTTTATTTCCTTGCACATTTCTTTGACAGTTAAACATTTTGAGCCCAGATTGAAAAAAATTTTTGAGTGCAAATTAAACTTACAGCACACAGTTTTCTGTTATTGTGATCTTTGTTGATGATGAGGTTTCTCCTGCGGACTTGAGCCAACCATTTTTTTCTTCTTTCAGTGTCTCTTGGGAAGCCATACATACGCATCCCTTTCTCTGACCGATTGGAGCATCCGATTGCAGTACAGCCAACCATGGTAACCCAATCAACCTACAAAGGGTTTAGTTAAGTATACCTATATACATATATACATATACAGTACATATACATATACAGTATATATACATATACATACATACTAGGGGTTGAATGAGTATATAATTTTTAAACTCGACATTAACATAATAAAATCCGAGTAGAACTCGAGTATTTGATGACGTCATAGATCTCAAGATACAAAAATAAATAAATAAATAAAACCGCAACAAAAAGGTAATTATTTACAACAAAAAAAAGACCAACAAAACATTGGGAGCATATATTATGCTCCTACCATTTATCATACTACAAATAAGTCACAGGAAAAACTAAACTATTAGTTATTATTATTAAACTGCAAACGTGAAGAAACGTGCAGCATGTCAAAAACCGAAACTGGTTCTGGTTTGGTGAATTGGACCCGGTGTTACACCATACTCTGTGACCTGCAACAGTGCAACACCGCCCCCGACGGTCATACGGTGGTCACATAATATGACGTCACTACGGATACCCGACGTTACATTTTTAACCTCGATAGAGGTCCTAGCAATCTATGTACAGATTACTCGAGTACTCTGTTAATGCCCTAATACATACATATACAGTTCATATACATATAAATATATACATATACAGTATATATACATACATATATATATAAATATATACATACACATATATATACATACATATATATATATACATATATATATAAATATATACATACATATATATATATAAATATATACA